CTGGCAGCGCAGGGTGTTGACTTCCTGATGGAGGGAGAGGAAAGATTGAACTCACAAAATAATGTGTGTAAGTGTGTCCAGTGTGGTGGGACGTGAAATTAGGAAGTGCAAGTCGAAATCTAGTTGATGTAAAACCTAGGTAAGTCACCTCTGGTGACTTCAGCCTCCTCTCATAGTCTCTTTCCTCATCTAGATCAGGAGACTGGTTGATTAAATTATTGCTAATATTTCTTCTGACTCCAGAATTTTTCCATCTCCTTCTGATTTTCCCTTTGCTCTGTGAGCAGCCTGGCATGACAATCGGTTTTGCTACTTAAATGTAGAGAATCCAGGTTTATCTCCTATCCACTTCCTGTCTTCTATTTTCATGTACTGTCTTCTACAGCTTGTCTCCTCCTCATGAAAACAGAATGTTCGAGGCATGCATCTGATTTCCTAATATTGCATTCAACCATGAGATCTCAGTCAACCACCAAGTTCCTTCATTTCTCCCATCTTTCTATCCATTCTTCCATCCATCTATCCATCCATTTATCCAGCTTGGATTCCAGTTATCTAGGTGACACAGAGGATAAGGAAGTGTGCTATCAACTTCCAGTCTTGATATTAATTTAGTACCTGTTTGGAAGATAATAAATCTTATCAAACAGTAGCAAGTATTTTAAAGATCATTGTGTGGGCTTTTGGCCACACATCTGGCCCCCTGGTGATGAGCTGACCACACTCCTTTATGTGAAAGAGATCAACATGTGACTCATTCCACAATAATCCCCCAAGTATGTTTTGAGCCACCAAAAACCTACCTTACCCTTCTCAGGGGTGTCATGGAGTATTGTGTATCTCAGTATTGTGATGTTGGGGGCTGGGACTTTCTTACCTGTTCATGGTTCTGCTTGAGGCTCAGAAGCTCCTCCTTCAGGGACTCCACCTGGGCCTCCAGGTCAGACTTGCACAGGGTCAGCTCATCCAGGATCCTGCGCAGGCCATTGATGTCTGATTCCACCAGCTGCCGCAGGGACCTCTCCGTATCGAACCTGTGCACACAGCCCAAGGTCAAGGAGGAAGACTCTCTTTCTTAAGCTTTACTGCGTTGACCTAGTCAAATTCATTATATCTTGAAATATTTTGAATTTTTAAAAAGTTTTCCAAAAGGAAAAGCACCACTATGCTGGGTAAGGAGACCTACTTCCTCAGTGAGACCCACCAAAGAGATGCTGGTGGGATTGCCTGTGTGTGGGTGCATCTATCATTAACTAACCGTAAAGCACACAATCTTAGCACTAGGTGAAGAGACTTTGGCTTTTAACCTAACTCTAGCTCAGTGCACGAGCCCTCCCAGCATCATCTAGAAGCTTCTGCAGGAACATTCCCAGGACAGGGAGCTCATCACTTTGTAATTCTGCCTGCCTGTCACTACACGGCCGGGGTCATCACTGAGCCTTACTTGGTCCTGAAGTCATCGGCAGCCAGCTTGGCGTTGTCAATGTGCATCACCAGCTTGGCGTTCTCAGACTTGCTGCACAGGATCTGGGGATGGGATTAATTGTGAAATGAGTTATGCTAAGAAAGGAACGTCTTGTTACTTAAAGCAAAAAGCAATTTCTTTCATCCACAGTCCTTCCCAATAGCTTGATGTCCTTTCAGATTTTCAGTTTGGTGATGCTAGGAGGATTCATTCATAGAACTGATCATTTCAAAATTAGAACAATCAAGATGAAATGTCAGGAATTGTACTCTTCTTGGTCTATGTCTGATTTCCTATAGGAACTGAGATAGGTGGGTAGCCAAGGCTCAGGTAGGGCAACCAACCCTCCCAGTTTGCTTAGGACGGAGAAATTTCCTGAAATGTTAAAACCAGACAAGTCCCAGGCAACCAAGACAACTGGGTATACACTATCCTCACACCACCTTGTTCCATCCCCTACTACCTCTCTCCGCTCTCCTCTTGTGGGCTTGACCATGCTTTGCATGAAGCTTCTTTCTCTACCTTAAATGCCCTTAGATGCCTCTTCTATCTGGCAGAACCCCTTCCCTCTCTGGCGTCCCCAGGTGGCCCCTTCCTGCATGTGTCTTCTACAGTGGCACTCACTCCTTAGAGCCTTTTATGGTCATTTATTTCTATACTGCTCTCTCTTATTAGCCCTGAGCTCCTGAAAGAAAGATGCTATCATAGTCATTTATCCCCCACCCCAGCACTGTGCCTGACACATGCCAACTGTGGGTAAATAAACAATGATATTCATATTGCATGACCCTCCTTTGATATTCACTTGGCCAGCACTATGCAAGAGTAGACGGAAAAGTCCTTCCAAGAACCAAATGTTCATGCAATCAGGTATAAACTCCTACTCATCCTTCAAACCCCACTCAGATATTGGTTCCTCTGGGGAGCTCTCTAAGTCCCACCTCCATGTTCTCTCTTTACTTGCACCGTCTTCTGCATTTATGACACTGCATTGTCACCGGTATACATGCCTGCTCTAGAGAGTGGTGTGTGTGTCTCCATATACTAGCAAGGCTTCTGAAGTCAATGGCTCTCTTGTTTTACCAAAGACACTCTTAATACAGTCTTTGAGGACTCACTCAGGAAACCACTAGCTCAAAGTACTGATTCAGATACACATTATAATTCACATTATAATTCTCTGACAAGCAGATTAAATGTCATAATAGAACTAAAAAAAAAAAAAAGCAGATATTTGGGTTTTAGGTTAAAGAAAAAAAACAATGTAAGACGTCTGTGACTAATTTGTAGCCAATGCCTTAACCTAGTCCCATTCATAGTGATTCCAAAATGGATAAGGCTATTTGGTGTCCTATCTAAGCCAGTGGATTCTATGTCTCCATCACTGTCAACATTGGCTGCAAACAGCCTTAGAGTCCCTTGGAAGCCGATATGGGAAATTTGGATAAAGTTCATTAAGTTAGCATTGCAGTGCCCACCCCCTCACCTTCTGCTGGAGCTCCTCGATGGTCCGGAAGTAGGACTGGTAGCTGGAGCACACCAAGGGTTCCTGCTGCTGGTTCCGCTCCTGGATGCGGGCCTCCAGCTCCGCGTT